GCTGAGCACGGTGCGGGCGCAACACCGAGGGTTGCAATCCCGTTGCCGGTCCCCGGTACGGGCGCAACACCGAGGGTTGCGATCCCGTTACCGGTCAGTAAAAAAAGACAAAAAGGAAAAAAAAAAAAGCAGGAAACTTTAGACAGAACTAAATTGTTTTGAATGTTTCAAAAACAGAAGTGTTTTATGAATATTTATGTCCATTTGACTAGAGAAATTACAGAATAAAAGAGTCTATAGCTTAATGAAAATCAAGAGGACTTTGCAAATGTATCAGTTGTATAAATAGGCAATTCACATAACCTGGGGATATGTTAAAACAGATATAAATTGAATGGATATTGTATCAATGCGTGAGTTGGAAAAAGATCAAGGTTTCTTAACAGTTTGCTTTAGTTTGTCAGCAGATTATTCTTCATTCACAAATTAGTTATGATTCCTTAAGTACAACAAAATTTATACTGCAACCCTTACAAAAGGCATTTTTAAAGTTGCGATTAATTTTCTTTATAGTATTACTAGTATAATATTACTAAGCACCTGATATAGGGATGCAACTCTGAAGTGTACACAGTCTAACTCACTTTTGTTAGCTGTTTGGTCGATTGGGAAGTCAAGTTATAATTTGCTGCAGGGTTTTGTAGTATTAGAAATGGTAGTATAGTAGCTGGATGCTGCCTTTAAGTTGTAGGATGAGGATTCACATTTTTTTAATGAAAACTTGTATGTAAAATGAAATGGCTGTTTTTAAAACATAGGGAAGTGCCTTGGACTATTTTTAATCCCTCCTACTACTACTTTTCTTTACCAAATATGTTCTGTTTGCTTTCCTTTAATTATTTGCTCATCCCAAGGCAATAGTTTCTGTATAAATGTAGGAATAATCTTAACATTTAAATAACTCCTTCAAATTACTATGTTGAACATTTCTTAACGGGAGAGTGCAGCGCTGGGAGCGCAGCGGGGCTCCCGCCGCGGGTTCTGATCCTATATAGGGATGACCGGTGTGCTCACAGCGCTCACTGGCTGAGCGCAGTGCGGCCGGTCTCAAAAAAAGACAAAACAAACAACAACAACAAAAAAATGTTGCAGTTAAAGTGCCTATTGTATAGAGCCAGTTTTCTGGTGTACAGTCTATCTCGTTTAGTGTTTTATGGATAGAAAATTAGATATCCAAGTGATTCGGTTTCTAGACTAGCTTCCTTAAAAGTTTGGAGTCCTTAAGTTTCATACAAACTTGTGCTAGTTGATTATTCATTATATATTTTATTCTTTACTAAAACTTTATCTTGTGGACAAAACTAAACTTCATAAAATCCTGATTCCTTTTAGAAAGATTACTGCAGTCAGTGGTGTGAAATAGAAAAAAAAAAAAGAAAACCCCAAACTAAAACTTGATGAATTTGGTGCAAATATTAACCAAAGATCTTCAGCCTATTCATTTAAAAGATTAGCTGGTACTAAATTACATGCAAAATATACAGGGAAATGAATAACAAGAGGTTATTTGGGAACAAGATTCTCAACAGTTAGTTTAACACGTTCAATTTTGGTTGTAGTGTGAGAAAACAAGAGCATGGCTACTTATTGCAAATTTCTACTCCACACGCGTTTTGCGTTTTCCGTTTTCCGAGGCTGTCCCCTCATCTCTCTTTTTCCGATGTGGCCAACTGTGTGCTGGTTCAGACAGCTAACGGAGAAGTGCATAGGTTTCCCTTCCAATTCCTTTTTTTGTGAGGCGAGGGGAGCTGGTGCCAAGTTGGACATCTGCTTGCACTCATTCTCCTCAGATGTTTTCTCTATGTTTTCCAAACACTTTTCATGCATTTCAGTCACTAAAAGACTGAGTGCTAGCTTCAAGGGTGGGCTGCACAAGCAAATTGGGGTGGCTCCTTTGCCGCAGCCGTGCCCCAATCCCGGGCTGCCCTTTCATCCGGGCAGGTGCTAAGAGCCAACCCCCTATGGCAGCGCACGTCTTCACACGCGGACTGAGCGCTGGAATGCGTGCCTTGGTGCTGAACGGAAGACGTGAGCACCTGTGTGTGTCTGCTGGAGGTCCTCGTCACGTATTTTAGCTCTCTGGAAAAGTTCATTGTTTTGAGAATGCAGTAGTCTGTCTTCATTGGCTAGCCCTCCATGGTGACAAATGCTGTTTGCTAGTGGTTCTCAAAATTTGGAACTCTCGACTTCTGCAGTAGCACGGTGCATAGAGATTGGCTTTTGAGAAACCTCTGTGTGGTGTGAACATGTGTCCAATCAGAGAGGTGATGGAGTAGCTTGTGCAGAAGGAGAGTTAGTAATTAGGCAAGGGTGTTAACATTTATGAGCTTCACAACCCAACTAAACTTAGAATTTTTAAAGTATTTGTTATTTTTGAAACTTTATAGATATGTCAATGCTCATTAAAATTTTGAAACTTTGAAAAAGTTGTTTTTGATCTTTTATGTTTCTGTGAGTCTACATCTATTTTCTTTTTATTCAAAGATAGACTCATAACTTACTTCCTCCCCCCACTTTGTATATATATATATATATTTTTTTCCTTTTTGTCTTTTTTTGTGTCCGGCAACGGATCACAACCCTCAGTGTCTTTTTATTCAAAGATAGACTCATAACTTACTTCCTCCCCCCACTTTGTATATATATATATATTTTTTTTTCCTTTTTGTCTTTTTTTGTGTCCAGCAACGGATCACAACCCTCAGTGTCGCTCCCGCACCTCGCTCAGCCAGTGAGCGGGAACCGGTCTGTATGTGGGATCCGAACCCTCGGCGGGAGCGCCGCCACACTCCCAAGCGGCGCACTGTAGCAGTGCGCCACCCGGCCGGCCCCCCCCACTTTGTATATTAATGGATTTTTCTTTATGACAAGATGTATGGATTCATTGTATTATATTTAAAGAATGCAATATATAGCTATACCATAATTTAACCAGTAACCCTAATAGTGGATATTTTAAGTTAACTCCACTTTTAGTATTATACGATGACTATTCTTTGATTTATTACTTTATTTCCTAAGGTGATTTATTTATTTTTAAAATTTATTTAGTAAACAAGAATTAGAGAAAAATCTGTTTTCTAGAAAAGAACTTTAAGAATTAGAAGACCGCTGTGAATCTCGTTTAATGAATTAGTAGCTGTTTGATATCTCCCAAGTTATTCAAACTCTCAGTCTCCATTTCAGTATCCTCAAAATGGAGATAATTTTGTTAGGACAAAGCGAGATAATTTAATGTGAAAATTCTTAGTGAACTGTTTTTTTCCCTTAAAAAAAATCCCAAGATGCAATATAATAATACTGCCATTTTTACAAAAGCATATATATTTACAATGTTAGATAAAGAATGGATTTATAAATGTGAATTCCGTTTTTGCTCAGACTTTAGTATCAGTAGTACCAACCCTATTAAATTATCTGTAGAATGATCACAATTCCTAAATTATTCAACACCTATGTTCTCCAGGCATAATAAAGTGTACATAAATGCTATTCAGTTAATTTAGAGGCACTATTTAGTTTATAGAAGATTTTTGTCGTGTATTTTTCTAAGTACTGAAAGAACAATTATATGTCTGGAAATTATTTGCAATAGTAAGAGTAGACTTCATACTCAGAGAAATTAGGAATAGATAAATTGCTTATTTTCATGCTTTATAAACTGTTAGTCTTCTATACACGGATAAACATCAGATATAGTAAAAAGTTACTGAGACAGTGTGGTGTAGTGTAAAAGTACTAGTCCAGTGTCATTGAGGCCTGGATTTAGTTTAAATCAACTGATCTTTGCTGAACCACCTATTCAGGACTAGGTACAGTGAAAGAATACAAAAATGTCCACAACATTGTAGTCACCGTTTTTTTTTTCTCTTCCCCCTTTTAAGTGGTTGGTTGCTACTGGGTGTAGTCACCTTGAAAGAGGCAGTTGAGCTGGATTCTGAAACATGAGTAGAATTTGAACAGTCAGAGACCTTGGGGAAAGATAAATACAAGGGTATGGAAATAGGCCTAAAATAAGAGAGGGGTTTGGTTTTTGGATGTTAAGAAATCTTTTTTGGCTGGAGTAGGAAATGTATAACAACTAGTAAGGCTGGAAAAAAAATGATGGGGTCAGCTCCTGCCTGTGCAAGAGTTTGGAGTTGAGCTACATACAGTAAGCTGCTCAAGATTTGTGCGTAACAATGTTGAAGCTATGCTTTCAGGAAGATACTAATGTTAATTGTATTACTAACTTTACAGTATTACTTTAGATAAGTCACATTGACTTTGTGGGCCTCTTGAATATTTAAATTCTTGTTTTCTGCTCTAAGAATATTCTTTGAAGTCTATGTCACAAATACAGGTTCTTTTCTTTTATTTGAGAAAATTGGATATGAGAAATTAATGTCTTAAATAAATTAGAGGCTGATCCTTCAACTCCTCTTACTTAGATAAGGAATTTACTTCTGGCCCCTTTTAACAGTAGCTTTCTGTTATGTTTTAAAATATGATGAAGTTTATTTTAAACTTACATCCTTGACGGTATTACATGTTTTTGAATGAGAACTATATAAATCTATTTCTTGCCATCTCAGCCTTCTGGTACAGATTGAAAAGAAAGTTATAAAGCTTTGAATTTTCTTTCCAGCTCTGAAAATCTATAATTCTGAATTTTCTTTTGTACCTTACTTTGGTTTATTTAACTAGCTCATCAAATCAGTCTTTAAAATTTGATTTTAAATAAGTTTTAACTAATGTGTCAAACTGTCTTTAGAAAGAGGTAAGAGTTGTTAGTAGTTTTTGTATTTAGATATAGAATAATTGCTAGTAATGATTTAGTTACCTAAAATAATTCTTTGGGAATTTAGGAATGGATTTTTCTGATCTTAAGTTGGTTATCTTTATTAATATGTTTTGACTGTTGGATTTACTCAAAAGAATATTGGTAATAGTGTTTAAAAAATGAGTAACTTGAACCTTGATTCAATTGAGCTAATACTGTTTCTTTCATCTTTGTATAGTTGGAACGGATAATGGAAGAGAAGCAATTGAAAGTGGGGCTGCATTTCTCTTCATGACATTTCACTTGAAGGACTGTGTTGGTCACAAGGAGACAAAAGCTATCAAACAGATGTTTGGTCCCTTTCCATCATCATCTGCTACTTCAGCTTGTAATGCTACTAATCGAATTATTTCTCATTTTAGTCAAGATGATCTTACTGCTCTTGTCCAGATGACAAAAGAGGAATATAGTGATAGGGGTTTTTTTGGCAAAAACTTAGCATTTTCATTTGACATGCATGACTTGGACCACTTTGATGAACTGCCAGTAAATAGTGAAGCCCAGAAAACTATAAGCCTAGATTACAAAAAGTTTCTGAATGAACATTTTCAGGAGCATTGCATCCCGGAGCTCAAGGCTGTGGAAAAAACAAATGGCTCCTTTTTGTGGTGTGAAGTAGAGAAGTACTTAAATACAACTTTGAAGGAAATGACTGAAGTACCAAGAGTCGAAGATCTTTGCTGTACCTTGTATGATATGCTTGCTTCTGTTAAAAGTGGTGATGAACTTCAGGACGAGGTATAGTTGAAGTTATTGAAGTTTTATATTAATGTTAACTATCTTAATGAAATAGCCTTTTTAAACATGGGTATTAGCAAAGGAAGTAGTCCTTTAATATTATGCTGTGGTAGTCAGATATATAGCCAAATTGTTTTACATAGCAGGCATGTATATACTTTTCCACTGGGTAATTATAGGAGGACTGCAAGTGTAATAAGTAGTGGGAGAGTCACAGTGTAGTAGTTGAGTGTCCATATGTCCTGGTTACTGGGACAGTCCAGTTTAAATTTGTTGTTCCACTGTAATTAATAGCAGTGCCCTTTTTAATCTGAAAAGTGTGTGGATTTGAATGAGAAATTATAAGGTCACTCTAGTAATAACTGTTAACATTTGTATATTATTTTATATTTCTGAGAGTTCTGTGATGAAAATATCATAAACCTGAAAATATTAGAAATTTTATCTATAAAGTAATGTACTGATTTAGAAAAAAATTTTTTGGCTGATTTCTGTTTGAAGCAATAAAATTGAAAAACAGATTCATCTAGAAATAATTGAACTATTTGATATTTTAGATCACTTATCCAATAAGGAAATGCATTTTTGTAAGTTTTTCTCTATCATTAAAGACATTTTTATTCCTTTCTGTACCACAATTTGGTTACTCAAAGTGATGAGTTACTCTTACTTTCACATAAAAATTTCATCTTGAGGGTTTAGTTTTGTCCTCTATACTGACATTATATTCCGCTCCTAGTACAAATTTAAAGTAATGTCAACCTAATTTTAATACTGGACAAAGTGAATGAGTAAAGTATTTGATGAAGGATTAGAAGAGATGGCATACTGTTGTAGAAAGGACAGAGGCTTTGAAGTCAGATAGTTTTCCTTTCCCACTTACTGGTTGTTAAGACTTTAGATAATTGAGTCTCTCAGAAGCTCACTTTTCTTGTTGGGCTATCTCGAGGAGATACTGATCCAAGATATAGAAGATATCGAGGAGATAATAATCCAAGATATAGAATTGGTGTAAGCATTAAATATATCATGTTTGAAACAGTAAGTAGCATATGGTAAATACTCATTATATATGGTAGCTCTGATGATTTCTGTTGTTATTATTATTATTACCGGAATGAAGAATTTTAAAATCACATGAGTATCAGTCAGGAATATAGAAAAAAAATACTAGCTATTTTTTTTCAGAGAAAAATTAATGTGGGGAATTAGCTAACTAGGTATTGGAGGACTAAACCCTTAATAGTGATAGGTGTTACGCTGATTAACGTTAGTTTGGAAATAAGTTGTGTTGTTAATTCTATGATCAGTCTCATTTACCTTTAATGCTTTACACTTGGATCTGTTCCACATTATTAAATGTTTTCTCTAACATTCTCTAAGTAAGCATAGTGTTTTAAAAACTTTACTGATATTTGCTTATCATAATTGAATACATAGCAGTTACCCTGTTATGATTATAGTAAACTGAAACTTCAAATGTTGAACTAATGGATGTTTTATTTTCTGAGTGAGCCATGAAACTATTCTTTTTACTTTTGAATATCTAGAGTGAAGTTTGTATTTCTTAGTTCTTCACCACAGTTTTGAAGTATGTAACTGAATCTGATTGTTGGAGGGGGAATATTTTCTAGTTCTCAAGATTTTTTCACAATCTGTTTCATTGCAAGGTCAAACTAAATTTATGCGTGCATTCATTCATTACATATTTATTGTATGCTTCCTATGTTTCTAGGTATAGTGCTACAGGACATAAAAGGAAGAATAAGAGAGCAGCCTTGCTCTCAGGGAATTAATTGTTTGGCAGGAGGATACATATTAACAAGTAACTGTACTCAAATATGATAGGTATTCTAATACTCCATATAAAGAAAATGGGGTATAAAAAAACAAGTCATAGATCCTGTACAGAGGTTAGTATGGTAGGAAAGGTATTCATAAGGAAGGTTGAGCTTGAGCCACTTCTTAAAATATGATATTTAACTTTTTCAAGTGGACCGGCAAGGTAGGGAGCATATTTCAGGCTTGAGAAAGAACACAGTGTGTTTAGAGAGCTGCAATTATGTACAGCGAGAGTGCAGGATGCAAAGGGGGTGTGGTGAGAGACAGGGTTTGTAAATAGGTAAGAGCTAAATAAGGTAAGACCTTGTACATCTTGTTAAAGTGGATTGTAATCCACTATGAAGCCTGTATGGTCTGGTTCAAAGATTTTTCATGGGTTTAATGGATAGTTTAATATGAAAGTGAATGTCTCACATTTTGCCAGTGGCTTGAGTAGTAGAGTTTTAAATGGTTCATCCCCTCAACATTTTGATTTTTCTCTTTGTTAGTGAAAATTAATAATCATTATGGTAATCTTTTATTATATAGTAAAGATTATTCATACTTTATATTTTAGATCCTTTTCTGTGCAATTATATTCTGTTGTTATAGCAAATTTTCTGTATAATATTGAAGTGAGGTTTCAGTATGAAAATGATGTTTCAATGCAATTCCTCTTGACCAGTGTTATTTTCACTTTAGGGTGTGCTATACCTTCTGTGTTGTCTATTTTAAATCTTTCACTTAAGTTTGGAAAGATGATAATCAGTTCATATGATAGTATAGTTATTTCCATTTCTTTTTAAGCTTTTACCTATATATTTAAATAGGAATATTTAAATAACCATGCTGTGTTGTTGCTCCAGAAATTTAGCAGAATCATGGAACATATTTTTATGTGTAACTTAAAAGAAGCATGCAAAAAGCTACTTCTATGCTGAATTCATTTTTGCTCCTTAATATATGATTTCCCAGCTCTGAATATAGCTTATTTACTTAATGATTAATTGATTGAAAAGCTGTTTTCAAGGCCTAACCATTTAAAGTCTTTTTTCCCAAAGGCCTTTATGTTATTGTTCAACTAGTGTTATAAACAGGGGAATAAAAACTATATGCATATGATGAAGTTTACCACAAAGATGGTGCAACAAAGGTTCCAGTCTGAAATATATGGAAAGGAATAATGCTAATGACAGTGTAATAATAATGACTGACATTAATGTATGACATAAGGTATTATGTTAAGTGCTTTATGTGCAAGACTTCATTTAATCTTTATAGCAATGCTTTGAGGTAGGCAGATTAAAGACTGTTAGAAGCCCCAAGAACTGAACAGGTTATGTATACTCTGAGGCGCTTCTCCTCTCCTCCCATATGTGAATAAAATATTTTAAAAAATAGCATACTAAAGTAAACATAATAAAGTCTAAAAATTTTTTATTTATTATCGTGGTGGTGAAGTTAATGTCTTTTTCAAACATTAATTTTTTTCTTTTTTTGAGATTAGTCAAGTGCAGTAGTGAGAAGGGTGGAAAGAGTTTGATCTGTAATTGACCATGAACAGTCAATTGAAATAACTCCCTAGCTTCTGATCAGCCCAAATTCTTAAAAAAAAAGTTTTTCTAATTTTTTGGTACCTCTGCTTTGCTGGTACTTTAAGGAAATGCTTTGTTGGCCTTATGGATTATTGCTTACTGGAGTTAGGTATTTTATAGATTAGCAAACTGAATTTAGAGATGAGGGGAAATTTGCCTGAGGTTATAGAATAAGTTATGGATCCAAGATATAAATTCTGACATTCTGGCTCCAGTGTGCATTTTCTTTGTCAAGAAGTAGATCTGTACATTTTCCTCTATTTGGTGATTTGAAGCATCTAACATATATGAGAGTATTTCAAAATGTTCATAGAAAAATGGAAGGAAAAGATAATAAGAATTATTCTGTGAGCTTTTTGAAGACCCATAGTATATGAGGGAGAATCTTTGGCATTTACTCTTAATTCACAGTTTCTTTAGAAGCAATGCCTTCTCCTTTTAGAGTTCCAGATAAGGAATTGGCTGGGATAGGAGAAAGGATGAAACCTTTAACCCCGTTGAAGATGAATTTCAATAATTTTGTAGGGAATTAATTATATTTAAAGTACTTCTGTGTTCTTCTGGGTGTTGAACTAATAAAACAACCCACTTCTTAGTTTTTCCCAATACCATTCTCTTTCACCTCCTGCCTTGAGCCTCTAA